CCCGTGGTGGGCAGAGTACAGATAGCCCATTGTGTAGCTTTGTGCTTAATTACATACAAAACAAACAAACATCTAACACAAATACCAATAAGTCACTAATCAAAAATACGTTGACTGATGCATTCTACTAGCTAAAAACAATTCTCTCTCTTCTTGCTAATTTTTAGTTATCCCTCAACTATCTTCTTGAGGTTTTGCTAATTTCCTGTTTATAATCTACCTTTGAATGTACTAGAAAATTTGACGTTAAAACTTTCTAGGCCTAATTTAGCATCATGAGAGTAAGCCACCTACTTAAAACAAATCTAAAATCAACCTGTTTTGAGAATAGTTAATTAAATACACTTTTCTTACTATAAAGATTAGAATGCATTGTTTCATCAGTTGTATATTTTCACTGCCAACGATGCTTTCACGTGTTAACCCTATAACATCGGCCAATTTAGAAGACTTAGGTTAGTCCTAACCCGTATGAAAACTAACAATGTAAAATAGGCTCTATAGTCTTTCACTCAGAAGTTCTTATAATAAATCTGTAATATTATAAAATTAAAGATAAAGAAATCTAAGCATATTAAACATTCTAACCAATACTGTTAATGAAAGTAACATTAAAGATTGAATGAGCACCTGGTAATTAGTTATTAATTATCCTCTTTAATGATGAAAAATTAATATGGCTGAACCGTTGACTTAGAAAGCAAGCCAAATGTCAAAATATTTCTCAGAGAAAGGAGAAACAGACTAGGATGCCTCTGAACAAATATTTAACTTTTTCTCTGAATTATTACACAAAACATGATAAATGTATTAATGTACTTTACTTTACTACTACTCTTATTTCAGTAGAACTCAAGGACCTGAATAAAAATAAGAAAAAAGATTATTGATCATAATTAGAATCATGACAGATACAACCAGGAATGGATTAAGGCTCGAACGTGCCTGGGGCTAAATGTCCTATTATGATCACGACTAAAGATTAAGATCAAAAACTCTCATAATGAACCTTCTTTGAGCCTGGGCCTGGGGCTACAGCTCCAATAACCCCCACTCTAATCCACTCCTGGACACAACATGTTGGACCAATCTGGAGGTAGTGTAGTGATTGGAATCCAATGAGTGAATTTAATGTGTCATTTTTCGGCACACAAATTTTCTGCAGAGAATTGGTTAGGGCTAACTGGAGGTTCGAAGAATACTGAGCTATAAAGTGTACTTCTGTTTCTCTCCGAACCCTGACTGAATCTGTCGTGAAGATAGAGTTGAAACACAACAACAATCTTTATTACAAACAACCCCATCAATGAATATGCTCGTCCTTTCAGCAGTGGGAGTGTAATGTAATGTAATGGTCAATCCCAATATTCGATTAGAGTAGCCCAAGAGTTGGCATTGTTTAATGTTGACTAGCTGCCTTCTCTCAGTAGTCTATCACTTTAAAATTAGAGAGACTAGCGCATATAGTCCTTAAGTAGCTCTGCACATCAAAACTCCAATATACTACACAAGACAAAACAAGGGCAAGTTTTTGTGGTGGAGTTGTTGAACTTGTAAGAGAGACATGGAGAAACCTTTAATAGATTTCACTTACC